GTATGGTGAGTATGTGCATGGCACAAACATACACACTGCTTATGGGTTCTGCAATTTGACCAAATAGCTGCATGCTCTTCTAGAGTGAGAGGACTTTGAAGTCAGAAAGCTTCAGTTCTCTGCAAAAAGTCAGTTTTCCTCCCCCACTCATCCATGGTGACTGAGGTCAAAAACTGGTGAGCTTTGCCCAGCCGCAGTAGAAGCAGGGCTGCAGAATTCACTTTCGTACAGTGAATCTACAGTAGAGCCTGGTGTGTTCTCAAAGGGCTTTGCTTCCTGTGGAGCGTGCAGCACAGTGGGTGTGCACAAAGCCAGTGGAAAGCTGGATACAGGGCCACTGGCACGTCCAACAGAAGCTATAAAGAAAAATGGACTTGACAGAATGTCTCAACTCTGACCCTTTGCTCTAACATGTCCCAGCTGCCTGGTGAGATCTGTAGGACCATTAACATGAGCAAAAGTCAGAAGTGGGAGTCACTGAGGTATTTTGTTCTGTTTGCAGATAGCAATGATTTCTCCAGGCATGAGTTCGTGTGAGTACACCTTAAACACACTGAGATACGCTGACAGGTAATGGCCTTTCTGACCTGGGGATTCTACTCTTGTTGCAGAACGTGTTTTGGCTGCTTTTATTCTGACCAAAAGTTCTCTTGTCATTGCCTGTAATGGCAATTTGGACATTGGTTGTTAGGAGCAAATTAACTTAGAGCTGTCTTATGAAGCTAACCTGGGTGTTCTCTGTGTGAGACATAATAGAGATTGTATTAAATGGTGACTAATGTCTCCTTTCCTCAGAGGAGTCTCTCATGCTAGACTTCAGACTGCCCTGTTTTCTGTAGGGAGTTTACCCTGTCCTGAATGGTTACCTCTATGCCCTTTACTTTTTTTTTAGTACTTTGGGTTCCATCTGTAAGTGGTGTGCTAAGAATGTGTCCTTGACATGGCCCTACAGATGACACAAAACACTTGGTGTTCTTGACGAGCTTTGATATGAACTAATAGGGTATGGCACCTTGGAGACTGGGCAAAATCTGAAGGACCCGGAGAACTCAAATGCCTTGAAGCAGATGGTGGGAGTGTGTGTTTTGTGCCCCATGGTTGACCTCGGGTACCTGCAGGGCAAGGTAGACTTGTAGGGGACTGAGCCCCAGGTCTCCCTGGAGGTCTTGCTGGTACCTGGAACCCCTGTGACAGAGCAGTGGGTGCCTCCCGGTCTCTGCTGTATGTGCATCTACACCTCTCCGGTGAGATGGCAAGCAAAAAGAAGGCTGTGACTTTTGTAATATGTTAACAAAATGACACTTGAACATTTCAGGCTTGGTAGCTTTCCTTCATTTAGTTCACAAAAGGCTGCTTGGTTCCTTCCTGGAAAGCATTCCACTCTCTGAAAGGATGTATGGTAATTCTTGTCATAAGCATTCAGGAATGCTGTGAATCTTGACAGATTCCCAGATTTGGTTCTGGATTGAAGGTGCATTTTTTCTTCTGG